TAGTTCTTATTTCGATTAAATGCATTGTTTGATAGTGTAGTTACGATGCTTTACAGCTGACAATTAAAATCCGTAAATAATTTCTCGATGACCCAATGTATTCATAAAATGCATTTCAAGGAGACTTGAGGTAATTCCAATTTAAGCAATTTTTAAATATTGAGTACTGATAACGTAGTTTCCAATCATACACTCTATCTGTGACCATTTGTTTTCTTTAAAACTATCATCGATAAGCCTAACAATATGGATGATTGCTTTGACATTCTTGACACAAAATTTTATATTTGCTATAGTAAAAAGCTAGTAACGTTGTTACTGGATTTTTCCGGCATTGTTTATTTGTCTTCATCCCTAATAATTGCTACCATTACCTTTAAGTCTTCAGATGTACAGTACGGTGCATAATACGATTGATTACTCCTTAAAAAATGAGTCATTTAGGCCGAATTATATTGCCCTCCCCTTTCTCTTCAACATATAAAGATATTTCGGTCTCGGAGACCTTGAAACGGCGAGAAATACAAAAAAAAACCTTGAGGGTTTTTTCCTGTATGTAGGATTTTAGTGTAATGGACATGATTTTTTCACCTACTTTTAAGCTTATTAACTCCTGTACCTTACGTCGACAATTTCTGACATTTTACAGAAAGGTTTGCGTGTTAGAGAGAAATGTTTATAGAAATTTTCAGGAAAATTAAACCAGTGATTCGGGAGATATGAACCCACCCCCTTAATCTTTCTCGAACCAATAGTCCGATTTTCCTGAAAATTTCTAGAAGCATTTTCCCCATTATGCAAACCTATCTGCAAAATGTCATAATTTTTGCATTTCTTGACGTTTTAAGATCCTGACTCCAAAATTCTAAAAATTTTGAGGGGTCGTTTTTTGATCGAGTACCATACTTTCTCGGATATTATATATAACAGACATGGGCAAATGAGGCTCTTGCTGAAAGTGTTAATTTCTGTTTTTTATTATTATTTTTACAATTTTATTTTCACAATTTTGTGTATTAAAAAATTTAATATTTGTTTTATATTATATTTATATTATATAATAAAATCGCAATACAGAACTGCGGTACAGAATAAAAAAGTACAGAACTGCGGCTCCCATGCATTTTGCAAAACTTACATTTCGGTTCCCACTGAACTCTTGCTTGCCCACCTCTGATATATAATACCCGGAAAAGTAAAAGTGTTCTTTTTATAATAGTTAAACATTTTACAGCAAGTGATAAAAAATTTTGGGTAAATTTTTCCAATTTAAAATAGATGTAAAATTTTTACAGTAACTTATATTGAAACAAGAACACATTTCCAACCAAACGTATACATTTTATCACATTGTTGAAAATAATTAATTCTCATCTTCATAAAAATGAAATGTTATATTTTTATTTCATTTTATAACACTAACTAATTAGCACATAAAACAAATAAAAGTTTAAATAAATAGATTTGACCTTCCATAATATCAGAACGGTGGATTTTTATATATTTATTTTTGATAAATATATAAAAATCCACCGTTCTGATATTATAGGCTCTTAGAACTTAAACAAAGGAAAAAGTTTAATAGATTTTCTGATATTAGAGCAAGAGAATATAATGCTTTCATTAAAAGAGTTTGAGTTATGTAATATTAAGAATGAACTTATTATGTTTCTGCCAATAGCTCCTGCTAATTGTCTGCAATATTACACGGGCATCACTGGTAACTTCCAGAGTTTCAACTATGACGCTCAAAATGCTCCTACCGTTAGCGGAGGATATCCTCGTAACCTGAATTATGCCATCTGTTTCCGCAAAGAATCGGGTCGTTGCACCATCGAATATCGAGTAAAGGATGGTTCCGTTTTTGCCATCTTCAATGTCGATGCTGGAAATGAACCTACTGTCAACGGCGGAGAAGCTGGCGTAGGAGTTATGGAGTGCCCTACCGACTACTTGCTGCTGGGAGGCATAAGATACTGTGGAAGTAGGCTCAATCCTTCCCTTGAAGAGGAGAATCCCACTGAAAATCTTCCGGTAACCGGTAAGTGATTCTTTTTATATTTCTTCCTTCTTATGCGGTAGGTTTTTTCCTAATTTTTAATGTTTTGAATAGATAATACCGGTGGTCCCTTCGTAGTCAATTTCGTTACCGATTCTGAGGAGAATGCACAAGGATTTAATTTAGATTATGAGCAGATACTTTGCTCATCGTCCAGAAACGACACCGATTAGCGAGTGTATCGTATGTATTTTATTGAATAACAATTTGTTTTTAGTAACACTTCAATCTGATGTAAAATTTTTTCTCTCATTTAATAAAACCTGTTTACTTATTAGTGGTACAGGGTATTTGTCGATATCTCAAATCAAAACCCATCCAATTACCACTCGGGGTACGAGGACTTTTAAAAAATACTATCATCGGTCCACCCTCACCTGAAATAAAGGATTGAAATCGGCATTTAATTATTTGTTTTTGATATTTGAAAATTGATATTTATGATTTAACGTTCATTTAGTATGAGATTCACAAATATTCTCGCATTTTTAATACATGATTTATAATTTAAAGCGTGAGTGCAAGAGATAATTAACAGCGAACCATATACCTATCTATGTCTACACTAATTAAAAGACCTATAAAGCAAGAATGTTTGTTGTTTGCTACAGGTAATTTTGGAATATACTGAGCCAATTTAAAATATTTTTCGTTATTGGAAAGCTTATTCCTTCCAGATGAACACAGGCAATATATATTTCATATTATAAAAGGAAAATGCACGAGAAAGATGTTTTTACCCGCGCCATTTTCTTGCATCGTCATTTGTCCGTTTAAGGTCGAGCCCATTTGTCAGTTTGTGGCATTTTTGAATTTATCATCTTATATTTACGGTTTTTGTTTCGATTCATGCAGTTCGAGTAGTTGTGTTTTGTTAATATTGTCTTTGTCGTTCGTTTCTTATAATAATACTCTTATGTGATATTTACAACTATAAGGACAGTGGCGGATTTAGCGCTTGAAAGGCCCCAAGCGCAATTCAATTTTGAGGCTCCCTCTAAATATTTTCACTACTCCTACCCCCTACAGTGTGCATTCTACGCGCACGTCTTTTTACTCTGTTAGGCAGTAGCGGATTATGTTCCTTTGAGGCCTAGGCGCAATTTTGTTAACAAATAAAATTCTTAAATAATAAGTTTTTCTTTATAATATACGTTTAAACGTTTACTAAAGTCTTAGAGGCATGTTATCTTTTTTGCTATGATGTAGTTTTTGAGGCCCCTTGTGACAACGAGGCCCAATCTATAGAATGGTATTAGATAAATGAAATCAAAGACCAGATATGGAAAGATTAGATACAGGAGACCCCGATTAACCGATTAACTATTTGTGAACTTCCGGTGAAAATGGAAGTCACATTATTTCAATTCAAAACTTTTCCCCTGTAAGGAATTAGATAGATGACGGCATGACTTTGCTGCTAACAGGAAAAGTATGATGTACAGAGGTAGAGACAAAACTACTAATCTGAGGTGGAGAGCATATATTTTATATTAAATATATTTAAAATATATGATTAAAAATTGCAACCCGGCATTATGACGATGTCACAATAAATAATTGCTGGTTTTAGTATTAATCCTACCATACTATTATTTAAAAATAAGAATTTGTCATATGATATCAGATTTCTACCTATATAAATTGAGTTCTTTCGATTACAGTACTTTTCAGGTGTACGCATATGCGAGTGAGTCTTATCGACGATAAAATGCCTAAAGCAATTGGGAGGAAATAGATCCGTACCAAGGGATCATTAAAAAGCTTATTACTTTCCGATGTACAGTATGTAAGCTACCTTAAAAGTTAGACTCCTTGCTCTTTCCTGTTGATTTCATCTTCCCTACAAACTCCCAATCCTTTGACCAGTCTGGACTAAATTTCGCATAGTTACTCTTTGATTTTATGGGAAATATGGGCCTCTACAGTATATTTCTCGGACCCTCACTCCTTCCCCCGATTTCATCTCCCATAAATTGCCAAATCCTTTCACTGAGTTACTCTCTGCCACCCTGCAGAAACATGCAGCCCTATGGTCCTAATGAAGACAACCTAACCCTTTCTTGACTTCCCAAACAACACTGGGCATTCTTTGCTAGTCTCAAATAAGGCTCTACCTTAAAATTAATCTCAACATATTGTATCTTAAAATTGCAGCAGTGCGTTATGTAATATTGGCTATAACTAGCAGAAACGTAATTGGAACGTGTGAAATCTAAAGTAGAAACAAAAACTGGGTCCCTATATAACAATATTTTTAGTATGGTAAAAAATTTTAATTTTATTATTGTAATATTTTGTATGCAACTTTACAACTTTAAGTATATACAAAACTTAAAATTTGATCACCATTTTCTAAATTAATCTTTGAAATTTAAGTAATAATTTCCTTTTAATTTCTATCGAGAGACCTTATCGAGCACAGACTCTGGTGGATGCATCACTTACATCATTGTATCGGTAGTTATATCACTGATAATCAGCATATTAAGTCAGGTATTTTATTATATATATTCCAAAATAAAAAACAGTTCTTTTAAATCAAATAATCGAAATGTTGCGGCTTACTTGTGAGTACTACTTGACTGAAAGCATCTTCTCCGCAATATCTGACACCGTCGAGAGCTAAGTATTCATCCGGACATCCTTCTTGAGCTGGTCCCAATTGAAACTTTGAGCGAGCAATCATAGCCAGAGAACACATCCCTTCTTCTTTTCGTATGCAGATAGCATAATTCAGTCCAGCGGGATAACCGTTTCTCCCATCTTCGCGTATACCATAATTGAAACTGGTCAGGGATCCGCTGGATCCCAGATAATATTGCAAACAAAGATTTGGTGCTGCAAACCAGTTCGAATTAATCAAATTAAATTTTCTTCCGATACTATATAAACGTGAGATCTAAGTAAGTACTGTACATTAGATAAAGACGTTACTTACCTTTCCATGGGCTTTCGCATCGGATCGTAGTTATCTTGATCTTCCATTTTCTGTCTATTCCGGCATGTTCAGAAGTAACTACTGTAAGAGTCAGAGGACCGGAGGAACTATATACTTCTATATAAGCTATAAAACATTGTCAAATAAAAACTGAAGATCAATAAATACAGAAATTTAAATAAAATGAAATTAGAATAAATAAGATATCGATATCTAATTGTCTTTTTTTAAACGTTAATAAACTAACTACTATTATAAGTTAACATATCTTCTATAAATATAGTTTTAAAATAATTCAAACATTCCTAAAATTTATAATTACTAATAAAACATTTTTCTAGAATTTTTTACAATATTTTTTCAAGTGTTAATTTGTTTACCAAATTTAAAGTTTGTGATAAGTTCTTTAAAGCAAATTTGTGTTTAATCAGAATTATGAATATAAGAACAAGAAGTTATACAAACAACAGTATTATTATTGTTTAAATTTGTTCATAAATTGTTTCATGTATTTCTCATACATATACAGTATCTATTTTTGGTTATATATTTCAGTTCTTCATTCTATATTATTTATTTTTCTTTCTTTCTTAAATATATTTATAGAAGTTAAGAAAAATCAGTTCTGAATATTATATTTTTCACTTCTTTAAGTTACTTTCTTTTAGAAAATTTTTATAAGTTGAATCTAGCAATTAAAGTTTTAATGTAAAAACGCTTATGATTATTATTATTAAAACAAGTTATCATGATCTAATAATTGTTTTAAATTTTAAACCTGTCTTATATTCGAATGGAGTTACTTTTTATAACTAAAACAAGACATAAATTACATTATTTTATTCCAAAAGAAAGTTAAAAATTTAAATACTAAAATAACAAAGAAAAGCACTACATTTTAATAAAAGAATGCTTACCGTGATGACCAGAGTTAGAGCCACAGAAAGAAGGCACCAAATCGTTTCGGTCTCCTCCAGTCACTCGCAGTGCATCGTGTTCGCAACGTCCTGTAGAAGAGTCGGGACCCCGCAAAATCAAATCCTCAAAATCCAAACGCACTTGACATAGATCGGATACTGATGCTAAGCGTACCGAACAAGCTCTGGCGGACGACAAACTTTCTGGATATTCCGGGTTAATAAAATAACTACCGTTGACCGAAATGGTCTGCCCGCAAGATCGCGACGCTGAAAAGGGACGTAATGGTTAGTTTGACAGCAAAATGATGTTTCGAGCTGCGATGAACACTAACCCGAGCAACAGATACGACGCCCTTGTTGACAGGAGCCTACTTCCACTCCTCCTTTCCAGGCACAGATCTTAGGTTCCATGCAAACTCCGATTCTTCCGTCTCGTCCTTCACAAGGTCTTCCCGAGAAATATAAGAAACGCCATGGATCTTCTGTAAAATTATTTTATTGATTATAAACATTCAATTCATTTTTTCGAATCTTGAATTAAATCGACAATCAACTATAACATAAATTAAAATTAAGCAGAGAAAGAAAAATTCTGCTAATACTTTTCGAACACAACCCGAAAGGCATTAATATAAAAATTTATATATTTGGAAACCCATTTTTATTTATTGTTATCAGACTATGCCAAGAATATTGTGGAAAGTGAACTCTGATCTCAAATCACTCTTTCAGAGATAAGTTCTCGTCCGAATTTAATTTTAATCCCCATTCTTCTTTCCGATTTCCTATCAGCTTCTATACAATTCTATCTTGATCGCAAAATGTATAGCTTCTCAGATGCGTACTTTTTATTGCTTCTATTGCATTAGTATAAAAATATAATAAAGGGTAGACTCGTATCATCGTAACAGTTGTTAGACAAAGCATTCTCTACTTATTTTTATCTAATGATGCGTAGCCTATATAGTTTGCGATAAAATATAGTCTATCACTACTATTTCAAAAACAAATGTGAAATCCATGAAAAAGGGAAAAAATCAAATAAAATAATTTATCATTCTGTTAACTTTTTCGTGTTAGGAGGAAAGGATAATAGAAAAAAGACGAATCTATTTACGCAAGGTTAATCCTGTGAAGTCAAACAGAGAGGCGGAGAAGAATATACAGTGGGAAATCAATAGCACCACCGTCCACATCTCAGATTGCTGGAAAAATAAAATAGAAAACTTCAGTATTGGAGAACATCAAACTCCATTGTATAAGGTTTAAGTACAGTACATCTACTTACCTTTGTATAACAGCAATATTTTAATGAATTATATATATGCGAAATCAGTGCTTATTTTGGAGGTGGAGTGCCGGAAGCATCCTATTCATTTTTATCACTTATTTCAAAAAACAAAAAAAAACAGAAAATGTTTATTTGAAATTATGAGTAACCCACTTCTATCATAATAAATAAAAAAACTTATTTCCTTTAATTGTCATTTGCATAAATAAAACAAATTTTAAATAAAGAAATAAAAATATATACAGTATGTTGTTAGCCGGTTTAATAAAAATGTAGAATATTTTTATAAACGAAGAAAATATTAATATTTTTAATAGAGCAGAAATAATTTGAAGCTGCCCAATTTCTAACAGTTGTAATGAAAGAATTCGCATTACATTTTGCTTTATTATATTCGAATGTTCATCTTTACGTGACAATTTGACACAAACTTGTTTATTATTCTGTTTGACTATTCTGTTATTTTGACCAAGTCACTGAACTCCAAATGACTTATACAATAAAATCTTTTAAATTATTGAAATAACTATAGCCTATATGTCGGAAAACTTAGGCAATTTATAAAATAAAGCAATTCACATAAGTAAATTCGTGAATTTGTTCTTAATTAATCGATATGGAATAATTTGCATGTATTTTTATAATAAATATATAGCAAATATATTTCACCGTTTTTAATGACGGTAAGCCTTTTTGTTTTGTTTTGAATTTTCATTGGTCAAAAGTTAAATTTTTATATAGATCATACACAAACATTGCACCAAGTTATATCTTCCTTTTGGTATGAAATAACTAAATGTAATTACACTGAAATATTGGTAATCGGTAATAGGCCGTTCGTTGATATAAATGCCATGCATTCCAAAATCTCCTTTCGCATAAGCAAATCCTATCTCCGGTCCTGTAAAAGATAACGGCATAATTTAAATTACAGAATTGTAGAGCGTCAAAAGATCAGTACAACGTGTTTTGTTCAGTTAAAATACTCAAAGGAAAAGGAACTGGACATCGTCAAAAAAGTGTGATTAAACTGTGTAAGGCTTCTCTGCCTGGCATAAAGCGCTCGAGGTCATGCAAAGAAGCCAACATCCTGTAAAGTCTATTATTTCCGCTTAAGCATTAGTTTCAAGATTTAAAAACATTTAAAGCAATGCCATTCGTTTTAATTAAAGAAATTAGAAGATTTCAAAGTAAAAATGGTAGAATTTAATTACTCTGCGATTCAAAAGTGATAAGTATCTAATATGAGTCAAATTATATAAGTACAATTTGAGAGATTAGCACATACACACATACATACACACATACATACACACAAACATACATACATACACAAACACATGCATACATGTATATACAGTTTATAATAATTCAAAACATCTCCGGTTTTTCATCCGGGTTCAAGGTTTATATAGCCTACAGTATTTAGTTTAAAGACAAAAATTTATAATTTGGGTGTTATAAGGTATTGCAAGAAAAACCGGAAAGAGGAAGTAAAACAAAGAAAAGACAAACATTGTTCTCCCAATTAAATATTTTCTTTTAACGAAAGCATTTTGCTCTAAATCGAAGATATTTATACTGCTTTCAAAAGCAAGGGTATTTTTCCTGTGAATATTTAATTAATTATAAAATCATATTTTAAAACGTTACTACAAATACTTGTAGTTAAAATTTAACCAATGTCATTGCTCATTAGTAACGAAATATTGATCTTAAATTGTCAGTCAATCAAATTCAGAAAGATGATTTCGATAAGAAGTTTATGAGTAGACAGTAAGTTTGCTACTAACGTTTCAGAATACACAATACATTAACCTATAAAAAAAACATATAAAAGCAGAGGAAACTGTAAAGTACCTCGACCTAAAAAACCTATCATGTGATACAAAAGAACAAATAATTGATTGCTGAAATTCAAATAATAATCGATTGCTTTTCTGATAAGAAAATTTTCGTGATTTTTTTCGCAAAAAGGATAAGAAATCTTTTATGTTTCTACAGCCATAACGTGTATAAACAATTATGGTTTAAATAAGTAATAACATGCAAACTTCAAGCTAAATGATAAACTGTTTACCAGTTTATTCAATTGACTTTTTAATCAGTTTTCTAAATATTTTAATCCAGTTTTTAATTGAAATCAAAATATAGAAAATTTCTACTATAATTTTCTATATTTTTATTATATACATATTGTAATTCATAATATAAATAAAATATATATATATATATATATAGGGAGAGTATATATATTACGGAAATAATAGATATAGTGCATATATATATATAAACTGTAAAGTTTGATCTTCACGTTACTGAATTAAATGAATTTAAATTAAATAAACTACATGTTAAAATGTAGTTTGTTTTTTTATTTTTTTCAAAATATCCTCCTGAATAAAAAACATACCTTTGAACTTATTTATCGAACAGTTAGAAAATTTTTTTCTTTATTTAGTTATTCTAATTTCTTTGTGACACTGTCTTTATTAGTATTTAAGGTATTTTGGCAGGTATAAAGCTCAACTTTTCAATACGTATTTGATAGAAATAAATCAATTTAGGTGATAAGTCAAGGGAATAAAAAAATGATTTAGTTCTTCAATTTATCTACAAAGTTTTTAATCTTTATTATAGAATTAAACCATAAATTATTACCTAATAAAACTAGTTCTCTCTCTCTCTCTTTTAAATCGAAACTTTATTCAGTAAATTCTTTTAATCAAATTTTCTGAAATTATACATTTATTTCATCAATTCGTAAATTTTACTTCTACTTTTATATTAATTGCAACACGATTTAATATTTTCTTTTTTTTCCCAGCATTATAAAAATACAGTACTGTACTCTCATTCAAAATTGAACACATACAGGTTATTACAGAGAATGTGCGATTGCTTAGTACAGGCCTGGACAACCCGCGGCCGTCACGTTAAATTGTGTGGCCCGCTAAGCGATATTATATATCTATTAAAACTTTTGTTTTCCGTTATGTGTATACCAAAACAATTAAATAAATGAAAATTTGCATGTGTCGTTGTTATAATGCGCAAGTGCGAGTACGAACTCTTGGTATAACAATAAAATCTTATTCATTTTGTATTTGTTTTACTTTTTTAAAAGCATGTTTGCCTAAATTGCGGCCCACCGTAATGATACGCGTGATTAAAGTGGCCCGCGAAACAATTTGGGTTGGCCAGGCCTGGCTTAGTATAATGGTAGACAATTTTTCGCAGCTTTAGATCGGTGCTTTAAAAAAAAATGAGTCTCATGATACTATTTATGCCAAGGAGCTATTCGAGAATGTCGCGATATTTGGAATTATTCTAAGAAAATTTTAAAAAATACGTAGTGGAAAGTAATAGTGTATATTTAAATACGAATGTAAGTGCGTATTAAAATAATAACTGTGAGATATATACTTTTTTCATTATAGCAACATTAATCCTAACGATCAATAAGCCTGCTATTACTGAAACTGAACTCAAGGTCAAATTTTTTTGAAAATAGGGTGGAGTTTCGGTGTTTTTTAATAAGCGTTAATCGAGTGGAGCTATACAAAAAGTTTCAAAAGCACTGATTTAGATCTTTACTGCGTTCTTGCCAATAAATCAAATTTCGTAGTTCACATTTATTTATGTTCTAATCTAACTTTAAAATATTATTATATTTGTTAATTAAAATTGAATATTTAATTTAATAATAACCCAATTTAATGTTATTTTCGGTTCTTTTTAAAATATTGCGATGTTTTCCGAAACGAAATAATGTATCTAATTGTAACCTCGACAAAAATTCACATAACAAATACACGTATTTCCAAAATAATTAACGAATTCATTTTCTAAAACTAGCGTGTTTTATAGCAGTGTCCAAACAACGATCTCAAGCCAAATCCGGCTCGCACCACACGTTAATACGGTCTGCAAACATATTTGACACAACTTTAATGATAGAAATATGCCTACTTTTAGTGTTTGTGGAATATAAAAAAAATTAAAATATTTGTTGCCCACTACTTACGATTTATAAGCAATTTGGTCCGCCAATACAAAGTTTGGGCCTCTCTGTTTTACAGAATAAATGCGAAAAACTTTTAAATAATTAAAACTGACATTACGCCGTTTCCGAATATTCACAAATTATCAAACAATAAGGGCCCACCAGTGGCCAAACGGTTTCGTTCCCTGAACACTGGGAGTTTGATCGTGGGTTCGCGCCTCACCAGGATGGGCTGGCCACGTTCCGTTTTCCGGGTTTTCACCACATCTGTAACGCCTGAATAGGGGTCAGTTACCCTTTAAAAAACCTACCAAAAGGTATCCCTCCTAGGCAGATCGCCCAAGTATTACTTTGCCGTAACTCAACAAACCAAACAATAAGAAACAATCTTGGTTTAACGAAAGTAAGCAGGCCTATAACAAAGTTTCGTTCATCAAATATATTGAACGTTTGTCGATAACTACAAGTAAGTATATTGAAAACGCGTTCAGTTTGATCGCATAAATCTAATGATAATGGTTTAAGCGATACGAAAATCTCTGATGTTATTTCGTGCAATACAACAAACGATGAACCAATTGATCGATTGTCAAGAATAGTCAATTTAATACTAAACACAAGAACTGTATTTGATTGTCTTATTTATTATTCAGCGTCTAAATTTCATGACACTGCATCAGAAGAAATAATAAATAAATAGAATATTCGTAAATTGGTTTCCATTAATTGTATTTATTTTGATAGAATATAGGCTATTATAATGCAAAAGTAATGCTCTATTGCAATAGATATAATTTATTATCGATTGCATATTTATTACATCTTTGATTACATAATAAACCAGACGTATTATGATTTATTTATGTTAAAAGTGTGTGTTTCGTGTGTTCTTAAAATTGAGCATCAGAAATGTAGTTGTAACCAAAGGCATCATTAAATTTCTGTTTAAAATAATATAATTTATACTATCATTAATAAATATGGTTAAAATATTTTTTTTAGAATTAATAATCTACTTACTGCTTTTTGATACGA